TGTCTTTGGGGATAAAGGCTTTGGGGTACATAGCACATCTGCCTGCTTAGTACAGAGAAGAATGCAGATGTCCAACAGGCAGCAGCTTTGAATCAAAGAAGATGGCAGGAAACCCTTAGAATGTTATGTGCTGCGAATGAATGGAGTATAGTATGCTGTATCCTGGATTGTTTAACAATTAAAAATTTTCAGGATTCATTCATCACAAACTATAAAATATTTAATACCTCTTGAAGAGAAGGTTGGAAGTCATTATGTTTCATAACTTTAGGTGGGATTTCCTTTCTTTTTCTTGTCCACACTTCTTTCCTCTTTTCTCCTTTTCTACCTTTTTCTACGGATTTGTTTATTTTATACAAAATCCTCAATAAATGTAAGTAGTAAAAACAGACTATTTAAGACATGAAGTACAAACTGTAAGGCTTGGGATTCACAGGTCAGATGATAGGAAAATCAAATAAAACATACTGAATGGCTGCAAATCAGTAGTGGTATGCTACCAGTTCAGACCGGTTCAGCCCAGCTGGTAGTAAAAAAAAAAAAAGCCTCCGATGATCGACAATAAGCTGAGAAGAGAAAGAGATAAGAGCAAGATCAGCCCTCCCACCAGCCCCTGCACTTTTCTCTTGTTTATCCTTTCAGCTGATTGGAGCTGCAGGCCTCAGCTGGTGTGGGGAAACCTGTGTGAGTGTGTTAGGTGCGTGCACGATCACCAAACCGGTAAGATCCCATTGCTGCTGCAAATATACTATTCCTGGCCTGCTTCATCCCCAAATGATTACATACATAGTACATAGTACAAAGCCAGCCCATCTGGCTAGTTTAATGTATTGTACGCACTCAGAACATGGGTTAATGCTATAACCAGGTTAAACCTGGCATATAAATGTGGTTAGTGAGGTGAAGGGGAGAATGCTTGAAGCCGGATACAACTAAACCACATGAATAGGCGTACTATTCTGTCTTTTGATTCACTTGCTGAATATAAAGACAGATAGAATAACTCTACAAATTCTTCCATACAAAGTTCCTTTCATTGGATTATATTAGGTATCCTCAAGGTAACTCACAGTTATGTCAAGATGCAACTAATGTCCAATTCTTTGCATAGTTTAAATCATAGTGTAAAATGATAGTAATCTTTTCCCCTATTTCATCCCATAGTAATAGAGCCAAAGGAGAAGTGCTATCCCGAAGCTAGGGTCCGAGCGAGAGTGAAGACCCCAACCCATCAAGGATCAATTTAGTGACCAATCAGGATTACAGATGTGGTCACATGACATGAACTACATTTCCCAGGATACCTTAACTACATTTACCATGATACATTCCCTTAAGGGGACAGCTCCCAATTCCTAACTAACTATCCAATTCCCATTAACTATAACTGGCTGCACAGCACATGTACACAGTAGAGGAACATATTCCTATGCTAAGCAAAAATAAGCTACCATAGTTTGCATTCTCATGGCATGCCTAATTATAGTGCAGCTTATATAATGCATGAATCTAGCCATAGTATGACAGGTTATAAGATGTCGCTTTTATGGCATGAAGTCTAGGTTGGTTTGGTGAGGCAAAGAACAAAAGCTTGTTTGTTCCAGCTCCACTAATGGGTAATTTGAGTGCTACAGCATTTTCCATCACTCTAGCTCAGAAGATGCCTGTAGGCCCAGAGTGACATACAAGCTAAATCCACAAGCTGATAATACTGGGATTGGACTTCACACACCAGCATTTTCCATCCCTTCTAAATCTGCAATGTTTCCCAATCTTGACAGCTTTAAAATGGGTGAACTTCAACTCCCAGAATTCCTCAGCCAGCAGCCAAGGTTAGGAAATACTGATCTAATGGTAGAGCTGATCTTGTGGATGAGTTTCACACACATGTCAAGTGCGGATCTTGGAATGTCCGTTGTGAAGTAGGATATGGAGGTCTTAGTCCTCTCATAATGTTTCTCTCTTACTATTATCTGATTCCGCTGCTGCTGCTGCTTACGGAGGATTTATGTACCATAACTGTCATGGAAATTGATCAACATTTCCTCCTGCTACATAAAAACAGCCTAATTCGCTGTAGTAAACAAGCTGAACTAGATCAGGTCTAGCTAACCAGAGCTATCTACTAATATTCTTTTTCTGATCATTCTAATAAAGATCTGAACTTGTTGGCAAGAAGCAAACTTTGGGGCAGATGGGAAAAAAAAAACTATTAATACTTTGCTGCTGCTTCAGCTAAGCCTTTTCTGTACCTATCTTGACTTCCTCAGATGGATCTGCCTGCCTGCCTGCCTACCTACCCATCCATCCATCCATCCATCCACCCATCCATCCAGTGGTGGGATTTGAATAACTTAACAACCGGTTCTCTGGCTGGATAGACGTGGCCGGTTGGTCATGTGACTGGGTGGGTGACATCACTCATCACACCCAGCCCTGCCTCCTGGCCACTCGCCTCAAAGGCAGAGGTAGGATTCGGCTGGTTGGGGATAATCCCACCACTGTCTGGCCCCACCCCCACCTGTTTATCGGCTTGGTTTCCGGCTGTTTTTGGGCCATTTGGGGGGCATTTTGGGGCTGATGGCCCAAAATGAGCTGAAAAACAGCCAAAAAATGAGTGGGGCAGGGCCAAACAGTGGTGGGATTTTCCGGTTCGCTGAACTGTACAGAATCTTAAATACCGGTTCACCTGAACTAGTGTGAACTGGCATCTATCTATCTATCTATCTATCTATCTATCTATCTATCTATCTATC